GACTCCTAATACGGGATCTTCCACTCCTAATACTGAAACTTCCACTCCTACACCCACTTCTTCATTACGTACCAAAACTGATCCTGCATGGGCACATATTGCATACAAAAAAGAGGGGACACAGAATATATATACTTGTCTTTTCTGTGCTAATAGTTATAGAGGAGGTGGGATAAATAGGATGAAGCAACATCTTGCTGGTATCACTGGTCAAATAGCTTCTTGTAAGAAAGTTCCACATGATGTACGCCATAGAATGTGAATCTTTGAAAGAATCTTAAAAAAAAAACTGTTGAAAACTTAGAAGAGGATGTTGAAGAAACCCATGTTGATCCACAAATTATCATGAGTACTTCGAAGAAGAGGAAAGCTAGTGGGAGTATGGACAATTATTTTGCTCCTAGGACAACCCCTGATTCCCAACCGGGTATTAAAAGTGCATTAGCAACTAAAGAAGCAAAACATAATGTGAAAATGTTGATTGCTGAATGGGCTATTGTGAACTGTATTCCGTTTAAAGCATTTGATTGCCCTTTATTTCAAAAAGCTGTGGATGGAATTGCTTCAATTGGGCCTGGGTTTAAAGCCCCTAGTGCTTATTATTTCAAAACCAATTTATTGGGTGATTGGAAAAAAGAATGTCAGTTGCTGATTGATTGTCATCGAGCTAAATGGAAAAACAATGGCTGCACACTCATGGCTGATGGATGGACCGATGTTAGACAATGCACTTTGATAAATTTCTTAGTGTATTCTACACACGGTATGGTATTTGTGAAATCTGTTGATGCATCAGATCTAGTCAAAGATGCTAAAACTTTATTTACACTATTCTGTGAAGTCATTGAGTGGATTGGTCCTAAGAATATCGTTCATGTAGTGACTGACAATGCAGCCAACTATGTAGCATGTGGCAAACTGATTAAGGAAAAGTATAAAAGCATTTATTGGTCTCCTTGTGCTGCTCATTGTTTGAATCTTGTATTGAAAGACTTTTCCAGCATGCCTCATGTGTCGGACCTTGCATCAAAGGCATCAAGAATAACCATCTTTGCATACAATCATATGGTTTTCTTATCCTGGCTGAGAAAAAGACCGAGCTGGAAAGAAATTGTGCGTCCTGGTGCCACAAGATTTGCTACTACATTTATTACATTGCATAGCATATATATGCACAAAAATGACTTGCAAGCTTTGGTTGTTGATAAGCATTTTGTGGACCACAAATTATCCAAGACCGAAGCAGGAAAATTTTTAGTGCAATCATATTAGATAACCGGTTTTGGAATGACTGTTATGAAGTTGTAAAGATTGTATCTCCTTTGATAAAATTATTGCGAATTGTGGATTCAGATGAAAAACCTTCATTGCCTTATGTTTATGAAGGCATGCGAAGAGCAAAAATGGCAATTAAGGAGATGTTTAAGAAGAACAAGGAGATGTATAAGCCTTATACAAGAATTATCCAAGCTCGATGGGACAGGCATTTGAAAACCAATCTTCATGCAGCATCATACTTGTTAAACCCTGCAATCACATATGGTCCAGACTGTCCTAGCAAGTCAAAATTAATGATGGCTTTGATTGATGTGGTGGAGTCTTATTCAGATGAAGATGTTGATGGCTTTCTGGTGATGAAACAAGCAACCACTTACCGTGAAGGCAAAGAATCTTTCAGTAGACCCTCATGTCAAAAAGCTGCACAAAAATTAGACCCTTGTAAGTGTTAATACTTTATAGTATTTTTATAGTTATTCACTAGTTCTTTATAATATTGTATGCTAAATGTATTTTATTATGCAGATGAGTGGTGGACATATTATGGTTGTTCAGTTCCAGAATTACAGCGCGTTGCAATGCGTATTCTTAGTCAAACTTATGCTTCTTCTGGTTGTGAGAGGAATTGGAGCTTGTTTGAGAGAATTCATACAAAAAGAAGACACAGATTGGAACATAGCAGGCTGAATGATTTGGTTTTCACAAACTATAATCTGCGATTGAAGCATAGGTACTCTTAGAAATACTAAATGCTTTTAATCTTCTATTTTAATTGATTTATATTTAATTGAATTTTTATTTGTCATTGAAGGAATACATTGAAGAAGAAGAAAAATTATGATCCAATTGACTTTGAAAATATTGACATGGTGGACTTTTGGGTGACTGAAGAAGATCCCACCCTGAGTTTGATGATAGAGATGTGGCTACAATTGAAAGTGTTAACAATGAAGGCACTGCAAATTCAACAACTTTTGAGAGGGATAATGAAGGTATATATATATAATTAAGATTCTATTAGTATTCTTAGATGAATATATAACTATTTGCATAATCATTAATATTGATTATTGTCTTATATAGGTGATGAAGATATGGACATTGCTGATCCTCCACCTTTGCACGATGATACTGTTACTCCTACTTTTCCTCGCCCAACTGATGATATCTCAGTCCATGCTCCTACCAATGATCTTAATGATGATTTTGATTTTGTATAGTGATGAAGATGTTAATTTTATTAATATTTGCTTGGTACAATTAAACCTTTAAACTACTTTTGTAACTTTCTATCTTTTTTTGAGTGATTATTATTTATGAATTCAGTTCTATTTTAATATTGTGAATTAAATTATATTATTTTAATATGACCGGTCCGACCCCGGTCCGACCTCCGGTCCGACCAGTGACCCTTGACCCACTGCCTCGACCAGTTTAGCTCCCGGTCCGATTTTTTGTTCCTTGAAATGTACATAATCAAACAAAGCAACGTCCCGATGCCCCCAAAAAAAAAACAGAAAGGTGTCACAAATGAATCGATTGAGTTAGAAAGTGTTTGGATGGAAATCAAATCATGGTTCCAGAAGTGATTTTACAGTATATGAAATAATATATGTGGAGTAGTTTATCTCGATTTGTAAAAAAGTACCTTTCAAAAACACTTCTCATACCATCCAAACACCAAATTGAAAAAAAAAATCCAGTAAAATAAAACCCAACTGAAATATTTTGCTCCATTTTAGGGTCTCATTTTGCAAGCATTTTTCTAAAATAAAAAAACTAATTGATAAAAATTTTGCGCACACAAAAACTACGCACCCCCACACTACAGTTTAAAAAAAAAAAAAAGAGGAATGCTAATAAAACATTTACCATGTGTCAAATTAAATTAAAAACTGTCAGCGTATATAATTATCCTTAACAAATTATGATAGGATTAAAAAGAATACGGGATACATTCAAGCCATAGATAAGTAAGCCAAAAAAAGAAAAGAAAAAGATAAGTAGCTATAAATCAGAAAGCTAAAAGTATTTTTTTAACTCAGAAAAAAATTATGAAAATACTATAACATCTAACTTTCTGATATCTTGCAAATAAATTAATAATATCATTTAAATTTCTCAAATCATTGTAACGTTTTAAAATTGTCTAATTTTTGTCTCGTTACAACGGTTTTATTTTTAAAAAATGATTACTGCTACTTTTAATTTCTGAAATTTAGTCTTATTTTCACTTTAATACTTAAAATTTAAAATCATTTTACTTCTAGTTCCTTAAATTTAAAATTAATAATTTTAGTCATTAAAAATTGATTTCATTTTAGTTTTGATTCTTAAGACAAAAACACTATTTTTTTGGTAAAAAACAAAAAAATTATTTTAAATACTAAAATTTTTTAAACAGATCAAAATAAAATCAAGTTTCAAGAAGTAAAATTATCGGTTTTAAATTTTAGTGATTAAAATCTAAATAAAGTCAAATTTTATGGATTAAAAAAAAGAACAAGATTAAATAGAGTCAAGATGGTATTAACCCAATAAAAAAAAAGTAGTCCATGAGAATCAGAATCATGGATTTGAGATTTTTTATAAAACTTCATTTAGATATTTAGAAAAAATATTATGATGCAGTAATTTGGGAGACATTGTTAGCTCCAAAGTTATTTAAAAAATGATTACTTAATGGGTTAATTCGCTCAATTCATGAATCCATTCACGCTGTCCCATGATGCACAGTAATTTCCCTTTCATAACTGAATAAACCAAAGTTATATACATATATATATATGTATATATGTTATATGTATATCATCTCCTTTTCCTCCCCCTGAAACATGAATATCCCTTGACTTTTTAACATGTACTGCTAAATAAAACCTAATTATTGTTTCTTCATTTATTCATCATTGATATTGATGCTGGGCACAATCCCGACCATAAACTGTGAACATTCGAGCGCGCATGATTAAAAAACAGAATATAAATGCGGATATCAATATTGTGATTAGAAACTGGAGTTTATAAAAATGATCAGATATGAATATTAATTTATATTTTGAGGCTTGAAATTTAGAAATTAACGTATACAAAATACCTTCTAAATATCCCATCACATTTAATGGATACGAATTGGATCCACATTGAATCACTTGGATCAAGGGGCTCTCAAAAAACAGTTCACAGTGACATGAGGCTAACCAACGTGGTAAAAATAATTAATGGGGTTGAGTCCAACAAAAAGAGTTAAGAAAAATACCCACATTTGTGTGATGAAAGGATTGTCTGATATTTATGCGTAGCCAAAAAAAAAAAAACTAATGTGATGAAAATAGGATATGTTCAGCCAACTGGTATTGATCCCAATGAAAAAGATCACGGCCACTTAAGTACGAAATTTCAAATTCATGCAAATGTGAAAACCATTATGTTGGACCCCAACTTGACTCTCATTCAAATTAGTTGGTGTCCAATACGATTTAGGAATCCCAACTGAAACACTTCACTCAAAGGCTTCCTTTAAGGTACTTTGCAATCCTACAAACTAACTATCTGTTTCACTTAATTTAGAACGGGTGCGTGATGTTGTTCTTACCGTTGGCTTATTGAGTAATTACGACCACGACCTCTTCTTCTATGAACATGAAGAATTTAAGCCATGCCATCTTGAACTTCTCACAATCTGGGAGACAAAAAGGGATCTCTGGCTACTTGCTAATTTCCAATTCAAGAAAAAGGAAGTTTCGCACTTGACAAATTTCCCATTAAATTTACACAACAAGTTCAACTTCAGTGGAATATGATATATTAACTTGATTAATGTTTGGTAAAGGAAGCTGGCTTCATCTAGATTTTGCATAGAGTCCTAAAAAAAGTATTACTCCATGTATTGCAATGAGGTTGATCCACTATAGGAAGTCAGAATATCATGGAAGAAAAATCACAGAGGCCTCATTTATCTACAGAATGCAGGAGAAATGATAGAATGACCGCTTCACAAATACGACCACAGATCTCTTACTGAACAGAGAAATTAATAGACTTCCACGTTCCATTGCTCTGCTTTCTTCAACTGCCTCTTGTACTCAGTCCAGTCAATACCTGCACATTATAACAAGCACAACTCGATCAGCAAAGTTTCTGTCCAATTGTCAAGTAGCAGGTGGCCTTAGTAGGTACCAGGCAGGGTTTCAAGTATTTTGTGCCTCTCAAATTAGGCAAAGGCCAAATTGGCAGTTTAATTTGAATGAAGGAAATTGTTTCTTACCATCTCTAGCAGCCAAGGAGACCATGATGTCATCAATTCCCTTTTCCATTCCCTTCAACCCACACATATAGACGAAAGTATTGTCTTTCTTGAGCAATTCCCATAACTCTTCTGCATATTGAGCCATTCTGGTCTGGATGTACATCTTCTCTCCTTTCTCATTTGTTTGCTCTCTGCTCACAGCAAAGTCAAGCCTGAAGTTGTCAGGAGCTTTCTCCTTCATCTTCTCAAATTCCTGTCCCACGCAGACAGCATTTTATGAGATCAGTGAGTGGGAAAATCTTATCAGTCCCCTCCATTCCTGAGAGCATAAGAGGGAAGGTTTTCATAGTATCACCTCCTTGTAAAGCAGTGAGCTGCTTGTAGGGACACCCAAAAAGAGCCATGCCAAGCCATTGAACTACAAATATGTGCCAAACTCAGTTAGGATAAAAGGAAGTCACTTGGACAATTCACCTAATATACTAAAGTTAATTTAATTTCTAATGTAGAATTCATTTTGTCTTCCTTCTGGTGATCTCATTTGCTTTACCAACTATTGTCTTAACAGCCATGAGAAATATCATTTATCATAATTACAGTGAATACTAAACAGACAATTCCATATTGATTCTGCAAGGACGGATCAAATGAATCTCTAGCAGTAGTCTTTGCAAAATCACTTGAATTGACGTTATCGTTGCCTAGTTATTGTAGCAAAGGATACAACTACACAAAACTGCTATAATGGAATGATATGAAACGCGCCTAATTCAAAAAGGATGTATTACTCTTTCTTTGGTACACTTACTTTGTAATCATCATGCTTCTCGAAGAACATTTTCCATAAAAATGAACGGAATGGGGCAATTCCAGTTCCAGTTGCCAACTACAAAGAAAGTTTCTTTAGTCACAACAAAAATCAAAACAACCATAACCGCACAAAAAATTCAAACGCGTCCTATTCTTTTCTGAAGTAAATCATGAGACGAGATACCATTACGATAGTGGCATTAGGATCTTTAGGCATAAGCATTTCTTTCCCAACAGGGCCAGTGATCTTCACTTCAGCTCCAGGCTTCAGATCACCTATCACAGAAATCTTTTTGAGACCAGACATTATAGCTAAAATTCCTTCTAAGCTGCATAAGTACTAGAACTATTCCATACTTACACAAGAAATTTGAGCACACCCCTTTGACGAGTTCTCCATTTTCATTAGTGTATACAAGCCGTTTCACACACAGAGAAACCTGTATGAAACGATATCACACATTAAATTAATGAATTTGAAGCGTCACATAGGCAATAAATAAATTGTGGGAATGTAAAGTCACAGTGAAATCTTAAACACAACAACAACAGGACGAAAAATAACATGATTTTGCCTAAGGCGAAATTCAGAACTCACAGTTTTGGAGTCACCAAAGTCACCAAGGGCACTGCTGGCAATGGAATACAACCTAAGCTTGTGAGGCTTGCCATTCTTGTCAATGCCATCTGGTATGACTCCGATTGACTGTCCTTCTCTGTATGGAACCTCTCCTGAGACGGAATTATACACAGACAACATGAGCGTGAGCTTAGTGGATTAATAATAGGAATGAGTAAGGAGAAGAGCAGAACCCTCGGTGCTGAAGACCATGTGCCATGTCTCTCCAGGAGCATCATCCCCAGTGATCTTAGTGTTGAGCAAGCATCTCCCAGTGTAAGGATTCTTGGGTTTGAACTTGTTCACCACCACTCCTTCTTCCTGTTTCTTCGATTCCTTCTCTACCTTAGCAGCAGGCGCCTCTGTCTCTGTGGTGGTCACTTGGGCTCTGATAGAAACTACTTTCCTACTGCTATACACATCCCTGTACTGGAATGCAACCTGAGAAAGCACAACGCACACGGTTAGATTCGTAATCATCCCATAATTACGGGGAAAACAAATGCAGTGCTAGAATTAGATGATCGCTGAAACATGTATAATATGGATACCCTCTTGAATACTAGTCTGTCAGGGGAGACAATGGAGGTTCTGGTGGAAAGAGAGGCGGACTTGGACGATGGAAAGGAGAGCGAAGCAGTTACCCCAGAAGCCATGCTTTGGAGAGGGAGGGTGAGAAGAATTTGATAAATGAAAGAGATGATATTTAGCTGACCTGGTGAAATATGTAAAACGAGGGAGAAGAGAAGAGAGGGAGCAGTGTTTGTCTGATTGCAGTTGCGATCAGAGGATTATAAGATTGGGTGGATGAGATTTGGAAGGGAATGCAGTGGTTCATGTGAGGATAAGGTGTCGACTGTAGAGCGATGTATGTGACTCTCGACTCTTCAAGGGCAACTGCCTGCGTGATTTTCTTTTTTCTTTTTTCGGATTTGAGATGGAAATTTACCCTGGTAGACCCGAATTTCTCAGTATTCTCTTCACAATATCTCTTTTTGGGCCAACAGTATTCTCTGTTTTATTGGGTTATCGAGGACGGATGCAATCCTCATATTCCAAATATCCAAATATCAGTGATTAGTGTGATCGAGAGGGCCATTTTCATCAACAGATTCTCCAGGCAACAGGTACCACTAGATTCACGCTTCAAGTGGTATCTTGATTCCTTCCCACGCTCGGGCAATACATAAAGAAAGCCAATCCATTCTTCATTTCTGCCAGAACTTGTGATTTTTTCCGAACAGGAAATTATATATTTTGCTTATTTATGAAATTCCCACCACAATTTCATTGAAAGATCAAATTCTATTGCCCCGTGTAACAGCTCTTTTTTTGGGGGGGGGGGTTGGTTAACAATTGGTGGCAATTATGAGACTTCCCTCGTGCTGAAAATTGAGTTGTATGAACGACGACAAGGAGTAAGCCCGGTCCAAAATCACAATCGATTGGGCTCAAGAATTTGAGCATTGGATGTAAGGCTGGGCTTTGAAGTTTGAACGAAGTGAAATCCATGTTTAAATTTTGGTTCATTTGTTAATCAATCTCACCGAGTCTGCTCCTTGTTTTGTCATGCTTTGCCTGAAAATAGTTTTTTTTAAATGAATATGCGTAGAGGGGGAGGGGAAGGAGTCGTACAAGTGGTCAACGGTTTGATTTCCTTTCAGAAACAATCATGAATACAGATTAACACAGGCTGTGTTGGGGCCTTGGAGGTGCTGTTTGGCTTCAAAGACGTGGGAGCGGCTACTGCTTTCTATTTTCTCGACTTCATTATTGCTTTTGGCCAATACTCACCCCCACGAAGATGATTGGTGCAAAATTACCAAAATTTGTGTTGGAGTCTGATAAACCACATCACGGCCAACCTTCGTATATACCCTTCTGTCTTGCCGATCAATACTTGTCAGACAATTGAAACTACTCCTTGCTTGCCAAGAACGGCGAATTGATAGTCATTATCTCGCCATTAACACCGTTACACGGATATATAGTCTTCCTTGGATGGATAGTACAGCAATGAAATCATTTTAGGTCTGTAATATTTTGTTGCTGTTGCGCCTAATTTTGCCTCTAGCTTTTTGATATATTCCATCAGCATTCGTAGTTCCCAAGCGAATCAAAACATGCCACCAAGATGCTTTATAGCAGAATTTTGAGAACTGAAATTGACATGCCTCTGTTAGAGATATATCGCAAATGTATTTCCAATTCTATATAGCCTGGGAAAGTAATCTGCTTTACTATGATGGAGTTCTAGTTTCTCGGAGGTAGTGGTTATCTAAAGTCTAAACCATTGACATGCGGGGTCCTTAACCCCTTGGTTCCACTTTCAAAGGAGGAGTCAATCGCGACGCTAGTATAGTACTGCACAACGGAGCTGAGCATCCCCTGAAAAGGAGCAACCCCGGGCAATTTACTGGTGCACAACGGGTTATTTTGAAAAGCATTAGAAAACTTTGCTCGGGATGACCACAATCCAGAACCAAACCCCTCGCCAACAGAATTTGTACATTCATTCTGAACGCTCTTTTGTCCCTGGCGCGGCGCAGAGTATCATTCAAGAGTTTAGAAACGAAAAGTTGAAACGCCAGAGCCGTCAACTCATCTTTTTTAGACCAATAACTCATGATTCGCCCCTTGGGGAATGTCTTCAACATATGAGATAAAACATAAGAGTAGGGTCATTGATGAGCAGAACAGTTGTGGGTCTACAATCTGTCCCAGCAAATTCCACATCACTTCCAAAAAGAGTTGTGTCATGTTCAACACTTTTATACTCAAAGCTACAATATTCTATGCCAGGCAAATTCCAAATATACTGACATAGTTAGTCAAATCTGTTATTAGTCAGGATTTATCAATGGTAACAAATCTCTTGGGTTTTTGACACCCCCGTCCCAAAAAAAAACCTTGTGTCACAAGTTATCACAACAGGATGCAGTTGCTAAACGTACCCAAAGTGCCATGTCTATTAATAGGCACCCCTATTTTGTTTTGGATAGATATCATCGCCTTACTTCAAAGTCATTGTCCTTGTGATAACAAATCCTCACTAATGAGTAACCAAAACAGAAACCGCTACTAATTACACTGAAAACTACGCGATTCTTTAAAATTTGGCACAAATTCTGTTACGACGGTAGAAAATACATAAGAAGAATTGAAGAATGCATTTGACTGTATATACACTCTCCCGAGAATGATAGAAAAGAAACGAATGAATGAAAACCTCTACAGGGACAAGAATAAACTTGAGTATTGACGAGATCAATGGAATCCTCTGGAACCTCTAGACTGGTAAAGCTCCAACCTACTCCTGGCTTCTTGCAACAACGCCTCGATTGTTTCATCCTGCGTCAAGGAGGATTGCTTGTATGTCCATTCCAGCACCGCCAGTACCTCAGCCTCGGCGAGTTCTTCACTGTCTGGGACATGAATTGCAATGTAGCAGAGCAAAACTACTGCTGAAATCTGGACGACATGTTGTTCTCCAAATACACAAGTTGCACCAAATGTTTTGCCCCACCGGCGCATATTATCGCCTTGGAGTGATCCAGGTGAAGGTAGTTCTCGGAGCAGGCAAATTTGGTGAGGGCTATGCATGCCTCTCTTGATACCTCTGCATCTCTTTCATCCAAAAGTCGCACTAAAGGAGCAATCATCCATGTCTCCGTTGCTCTGAATGTCCTCGCTAAATTCCCAATGGCTTTCATGCAAGGAATCAACAGGTCTGAATCTGCCTTCTCTATGATTTTAAGCACTTGATCGACGACTGCTTTGCATGCAGGAGAGTTAGGCTTGAACGCAGATCTTCTCAGATCAGCATCTTTCTCTGCCACTGCCGTAATCTCCATCACTGCCATGGCAGAATTGTACTGCACATCTTCACGTCCTTTCTCAAGGAGTACTGCAAAGCACAGGAGAGCCCTTGATTCTGTGATGCTACGACAAATGGGTGAGTTACCCTTGGCTAGGTGCCACAGCGCTCTTGCTGCCATTGCTTTCATATTGGCCTTAGTCTCGGGGCTCTCTAGTTCCCTTCCCTTCATGTTTATCCCCGAGTGTGAATAGCTTGGCTGATGATGCGGTTGATGATTTTGCTTCCCGTTACTCTGACCATTGCTCTTGGGTTGACTGGCTTGGGAGTTCTGATTCCCTGCGTTTCCTTCATTAGGCTTGGGAGTAGCATTCATTGCCATAGTACTTGTGATCACTCTATGCAGCTGGGAAGCTGTTCCATTACCCAACGGATGCGCTATCCGACTCTGAATCTGATTCTCGTCGTCTTCGTTGGACTTTTTGGCATTGATGCTATTTAAATTAGAATTAGGATTACTACTTGCCATCACAAGCGCGTGGATTGATGTGGGTTTGATGCGATCAATGGCGTACTTGCTGTGTTCTTGAACTGTTTCGAATGCAAGATGGCTGACGAGCAATCGGATTATATTGTGCTGAACAAAGAGATCTTGGCATTTGGGATAATTCGCCGCCAGCTCCGATACAGCCCAGGCCACCACAATTTGCACTTTCATGGGACCATCTTTAAGGATTTTCGCAAACACAGAGCATATTCCGGCGTGAAGCAGGTGCTCTACGCTCTCGGGGTCACGACCCAGCAGCCCAATTGCTCTCGCAGCATTCTCCTGACCTTCCATCTTACCCTCTTTGAGCAATTTCAACAACGGTCCGACCCCACCTTCCTCGATTATCAACTTCCCGTATCGATCGTTGTCCCTAGCAAGTGACACCAGCGAAGCCGCCGCATCAGATCGCTCCTCCAGAGAACCCGTGTAAAGTGTCGCCACCTGCTCCCATATGAGATACAGATTCGGTTCGTTCGCGGCGATCGGAGGAAGACCCAGATACTCGTCGCCGCGATCCTCCGCCGGGGCGGACACACGAAGGAGCCACGACACGTCTCCGATTGAGTTCTCGAGGTGGGTAGACATCTTGCGAAAAGCGGCGGCGGGTATGATGGTGAACACGCGCTTCACCAGGCCATTGGCGCGGCATTTGAGAATCAAGGAGTGGGCTTTGGTGAGGACCTGTTCGGTTTCTTCGATGATCCGCCGCGTAGGACGTTCGTAGAGATCGGAGCTGGCTCTCGCGGCCTGCCGGAGAAGCCCCGCGAGTCTCTCAGACTTGTATTTGAGCTCCGCGCATTCGTGCCTGAAGGAAGCGCTAGCCTCATCGGCAGATTTGATTACTTGGTCGGCTAGCTGGATGGGTTTTGCTAAGATTTGCTTCACAGAGTCCGCCATGGCTGGTAACAGGTTGCCAAGTTTTTGATTTTTTGATTGAGGGAACGATGGGATAAAGAAGGAAAGGAAGAAAGCCCCCCTCAGCCTTCAAATTTGGCGGTGATGGAGGGGGATGATGGGACGAAGAGAAAAGGATTGGGAGAATCAGAGGATGGATGGGACGGGATGGTGGGGCTTGAGTGTCTGGGCGCTTAGCTGCAGCTTCAGAAAGAATCTGTCACGGTGGACGGAATTTGCAAGGTCAAACGCGCTTCCTTCTTCGTGGCTAGCCTTGGCCCTGTTGGGTCGTTGTTGAAATTTGACGACTTTTGAAAGTTGTTGAATCGAACAACGCATGTTTATTTGTGTAGAAATGTGAAGACTCGATTCTGGGTCGCTTTTCACTTTTTCTGTTTGCCCCTCTGCACTGTAGAATCGCTTTTCCTTCCATTCGTACGTCCAAGGATTTCAATGGACACTCCTTTCGTTTCCATTCATAATTACTCACGCAACCAAGTCTACTTATGTATTTTAGAT